GTCACCCGGGCAGGATCACTCACACAACTCGTCCTCTGCTCCATGGGACAGGCACCCGAGCCACGTATCCTCTTTCCTGATCAGATTCACGTTGTTTCTTGTCTTCTACGGGGCTGAAAGTCTTGCGTTTCCTCTGCAGATTGCCTCAGTTTCAGTGGCGGTGGGGGAGGATGCSACCTACCTACCGCCTCCCCAGATCCAAGCACAGCGCTGTAGTTAGGGCCCTCCTGCGCAAGGGTCAGCGATGGCAGTTTGAATTCTGCTCTCCAACTCAACTGGCAACTGGGCTACATACTGAGCTGTTACATAAAGGGCATGGACCTCTAACATTTATTTTTCTCCTTGCAAATGATAATGCTGAGATTTACTTTGAACTCAGCATTGCAAGCCTGTATTCAAAATGGTCTGCAGGGCGGGTACCCCTAAGGACACCCAGCCTGTGCATCCTTGGCTCACTCAGGTAAGACGGGGATGGATCCTGCACGTGGCTTCTGCAGACACCCGGCAAACCTTGTTACAAAACCCTAGATACCAGTGCCCAAAGGGCTAGCGTTGGGAATGAGGGAGACCACGGAGCATAGTTTTAGGTTTAAGCACTTCAGTTCTTCCTGCTTCTCAGTGTAGGCATGGGAGCAAAGGTGATAGACAGGAAACTCTAAAAATTAGTGGACTACCAAATATATCAAGTTCACCTTCTTTTATTTGTAAAGRTCATCACTCCTTTGTACTCCTTAAGCAGCCCACACTCACCCCAGAAGCATCAGCAGAGCGTCTGTGTAATCAACAGCAGGCTGGACCTCCAGCACTGATTCCTCTAACTCGCACACATAAACACGCAGGAAAGAGGCGGCCTTTGGTCAGCTACTCAAAACACAGAAAGGGCAGAGAAAGTAACCGAGCCCTACAAGCCATGAAGGGTGTGAAATGCKAAGAGAAGTGGAATTTCAACTATGTACCTTCATTTCCAAGGCTTAGGCTGGTCTCACTTTTAAAATCTCTGCCCAAAGATGGCATGCCAGCCTTATCTGAGGTTTTCTTTTGGCAAGCCTAAAATGTAAAATTGGTAGTTGCTAGGCATCAGTCACACTATCACACCAAGATGCACTCGGCGGGGAACGAAGCACAAGCAACAGAAACCATGGCACGTGTCACTCCAAAAGGTGTGACCAGCGGACAAACTACGGGAAGAAGCGCTGCTGATTCATGTTTAAACATCTGTAAATAAATCAAATAATGGACTGGGAATGTGAGTCCTCTCACTGGCTTTATTAGGAACCCAGTCTGATGTGCAACTGATAAAGATGTTTCTGGAACAGGGGCTATTTCGGACAGAGAGATGGATCTCCAGATGGATAGATAATATCCAAGCAGAAGGGGAAAAAAATCATTTTCTAGTTTTTGGACCCCAGGAAAATAAATGACCAAACACAGTACAGCAGAACCAGGAGGATTAAAGTAGAAGCCTGATTCTTCGCTTGAGCACTGACACACTCTCAAGTGGAAAGAGTTATGGATAACTTCTAGGGCAAACTTCCACTCCTGGAATTATTTTGTCATCTCTACTGCTACTGCAGTTAGCAAAACTCCAAAGTATTTTATAGTTGCTGAACTGATGGCTCCTCTCCCTGAAGCCTTTTCAGGAAAGCAAAGCTTAGGCTGACATAACAATGTGCTCAGCTGACCCTATGCCAAGCACGGTGTGGCAGCAGGCAGACAGGCTACATGCCATATTCTAGGAACTAGAGGTAAACCCGCTCAGACTCTGCTCAAATTGACTCTGAAGACACATTTTTGCCAGTCAAAAACTAACCTGTGCACACATGCCATATGTTTTGGAGGATAACGATTATAAACAGTGCCATTGTTCCAAATGAAAATATTGCATATTTTCAAGGAGGAAAAACAAAACACGACAGTAATTTGGGGGCTGGGAGCTTCCATGCAGCACCTCCTCGTCGCCAAGCTCACCACATACCAACACAGCTGATAGCCCTATGATAGCAATAAGTACATTATAAGTACTTTGGGCAGAGATTGGAATTTCTCAATCCAAAGCTCTCGGGAGTGTCCTATGGCATCTTACATCAAAGCAAGTTGCTTTTGGAGCGTGTCCTTATAGCTTATATACCTCCACTCACAGTAAAGCTTTTGTTGTTCTTGCTTCCCTAAAAAGGCTCCATCTTCTGCTAGGGCAGCAGGGAAACCCACAGCACAGGAGCTGCCTTAAGCCTGGTCCTTCACTAACATGCAGCTCCCTGGCACAGCTCTGCTGTGGTAACGTTTTCTGCCTCAGCAAACGAGCAACCCACACGCATAACACCGACACTTCTGCTGYGCTTGGCTAGAACCAGGACACCAGCACAAACCCAAGGTTAGCTCCCACCACCAGTGTGGAAGCTGCAGGTCTCCTGCCCTGCCAGGGACTACCTTGTTCAAGGTCACCCTCCCACATAATGAGAGTAGCAGGATCAGAACCAGGAGCTGCTGTTCCCCTGCTCTCTATTTATACTACTCTTCCGAGCAAGCAGCCTACAGTTCATCAGATTTCCATTGGGATCATGGACTAGGCAACTGCAGCTCTGCAGAATCGTGCCCAGCAGGGTAAGAAACAGCATATAGGGAAAAAAAATCCCTCTCAGGTATCACTAAAGCCACTTGCATGAAAGGAAAACAGTCTAGGAACTACTAGACTTCTTATGATGTGTTCTGAAGCTGCTCTCTTCATGCTTGGGGAAGAGAAGCACAGTTTACCCTCATAAATCAATCAATTCCCACTTCAGAGCTGTCAAGTCAGAATCCAGGAAAACAGTGAACTTTTTTTTAGACAAGAAATAATATTCCAAGCAATGCTTCAATGCTTTGACAGGAGAAAAAAAAAAAAAAAAAAGAACAAAAAAACCCACCTGCTTTCTCTCCAGATGTATCCTTCCACTCACTATAAGGGTACATTAGGTTGGCAACATCTGTAAGACTTCTTAGACTTCTTTTAATTTTGCCTGGCCAAGATATAGGCAGGAATCCACCCTGTTATTGTTGCTACTGTTCCAGAGACATGTCATATGTATGTAGCTGCTGTACTATCTCTAGATTACTCTAGGGATACAGAGATAATAGAAGAAAATATATATTGATATATATATATATATATATCTTTTTCCACCTGCCCCAGTATTAGAGCCTTCACAGGAAGAACTCAATCACACAAACTTGTCTGCCTGTGAACACTGGATTCAGGTTAAAAACATCCTTCCTAGCAGTCAAAGCCTGGTTGAAAAGAAGTCTCAGCTTTACGTGTAAGGTTAGCATCCCACTTAGCAAAAATAAACACAGGTTGCCTGCCGTGCCTGCAGTCTTCAAGGTTTACTCTTCAGACAGATTTGTTACCTGCTTTCCTGAATTCAGCCGAGCTCTTTAGAAAGGTAACTTGTATCCTTTTATTTCTCCATCCACTGCAATTAGAAGCAAAGTGAGGGAAATAACAAAAGAACAGAGCTGACTTTCCGTACAGCCCTTTCCGCAGCTGTGAGTCACTCCAGCTCTGTGCCTGTCAATACTGTTCCTTTAGCTTGCCMTAAACATTTGTGCTCTGAAAATTTGGAGAGTCCTCTTCAAATATCTTTTGTCCGTACTACGCATTCTAGCCTACTCATTTGCTCCAGCTGCTCACAGATCCCTAGGAATAAGCCAGTTCTACATCCCTGAATAAAGATGGACACTCCCATCCTATCAAAGACCAACATATGCGACTGCTCTGCATTGTAACAGGCTAAGCTCAGCCATGAGATTTAAATGAAATCTTGTTACAACAGAGGTTTAGCCTCCAGGCGAAGGTCTTCAAATTAGCAGCTCCTGTGCTGAATGCCAAACTCGGAAAGAAACTAGGGCATCCCTGCTGAATGGGAATCGTGCACCTGTCAAAATACTGCGAACAGGAACTGATGCTCTGTAAATCCAAGCACAGGTCAATGTATGCATTCCTAAAACAACTTCCTCTCAGGTTCTTGCATATCATGTTCATTTTAACCTATAAATTGATAAGCACTTTAGGAAACGCAGTATGTGCAAAACACAGAACATTAGTGCACACCACTGAATAACAGACTTTTCACCAGTGACAGACACCGATCTCAGCCTGTCTAACCTCCGTTCAGTCCTACCTGCCGATACATCCTACTGCTCCCTGCCTCCTTCTCCTGCCCACGGATGCATAGGATCTCTTCTCCGCTGTTTTATGTCTAATTAAACTCTGCTCTTTCTTGCGGGTGGGAAATCAGAAACAAAATGGGATATCTCATTCCCAAGCATYTGCCAGTTCCCACCAGAAAGCAGCAGGCACTTCAACTACAGATAAAACATGTCCCTCTACAACAGAGCCTCCAGAGAGGATGTTTGGCCACTACATAAAACTGCTGGCTGCTTTTAGGGGTGAAAAGCTTCAAACAGACCGAGCAACAGCCTGTGCAAGGGCAGGTTCGGGATAACTCCTTGGAGACAAGTGAAACCCCGCAGGATCGCGACTCCCGCTCTGCGGGTTTGCCCGGCAAGGCGGCAAGACACAGCCCGGAAAGAAAAAGAAATTATCAAGGAGAGGCGCTTTCCTCGCAGCTTTAACAAAACACAACGCGCAGACCCGCCTCGCTCGCTCAGCGGGACAGCGAGAAAACAGCACGGCCAAGTTGGGCAACAGAAAACGCCGGGAAGCGTGAACGGGAGTGAACGGGAGTGAACGGGAGCCGGGCGAGGCACGGGGGGCCGGGGCCGGGAGGAGGGTGACGAGGAGGAGACAGGGCTCGTCCGTGTCCCCGGTTAGGTGAGGGGCACCGAGCAGCGGGGACGGCGCCAACGGCCGTTGCCTCCGGCGGGCCGCCCAACGGCCGTCGCCTCGCGGGGGGGGGGGCAGCCCCTAACGGTCGCCTCCTCGCGGAGGGGGGGGCAGCCCCCAACGGCCGTGGCCCCGCGGGCAGCGGCGGCGCGGGGGGCCCCGCGCGGGCGCCACGCACCTCGTGGAAGAGCTCCAGGCTGTAGGTGTTGTCGTCGTCGGCGAAGAAGAGCACGCCGGGCTGCGGGGGCGGCAGGTGCTGGTGGCGCTGGCGCAGCCAGGCCAGGCCGGCGTTGCGCTGCTCGGTGGCGCGCGGCAGCCCGGGCCGCTTGTAGCGGCGCGGCGTGGGCACGTGCAGGTGCGTGCAGGGCAGCCCGGCGGCCGCCACGAAGCGGCTCACGAGCTCGCTGCGCGCCGCCGCGTCCTCCACGAGGATCCAGTGGAGCCGCGCCACCTGGCGGAGCGTGTTGGCCAGCCGCGTGAGCTCCGCTTTCTGCACGGGCCGGCTGTACGTGGGCGTGATGGCATAGATGGTGGGC